GCCGGGCCCCATGGACTAAGGCCCAGCCACCAGACGCTCACCCTCCCTGGGCCTGGCTGCAGGGCGGGGCCCCGGTAACCCCATCCCAGGCAGGGTGAACTGTTCCCATGATCGGGCTTCTGAATCGCCCTCTGTCTGGTCTCTCACCCAGGACCAACTTGCCATGGGAGACCCTAGCAGGGGGTAGACGCCCCTGGGATCCCTGGGACACACAAACCCTCCACCACGACAAGGCAGCGATTCTCAGAGGGGCTCCTCCCCCCTTTACGTGGTCATATTGATGAGCATGATCGTGACGTATCCATGGACAGCACATTGAAAAACACTACACTTCTTTACAACGTCGTGGACGTAGGTAACACCGACTAGTTTGTTTTGAACACAGATCATGGGCAGAATATTCCCGCGAGTGCTTTGGAAATTAAAATGTAGCTTCAGGAGTCAAATTAAATTTGTAATATCCAATTAAATTATGCAAACATAGCAAATGTGCACTGAAAGAAAGTTCAAGGTCCTTCTAATGTCAAACTGCAGACTCTTCCCAAAGGCTTTGTCGACACACGGACAGAACAAAGCGACGCAGCGAAGCCGCCGAGCAGCTGATGATCTACCTTCTTGTCTTTCTCTGAGCCGTCAGTGAGGAGGATGCCTTTCTGCATGTGGCGGTACAGAACCTTCTGTATGGCAGACATGTCGCACTTTATGACGTACTCCACCTGCGTGAACGACAACATAAATAATTAAATGAAACTCAGTGGCACAGTGGTGTCTTTCCAATAGTGAGGCTGTTTGAGCTCAGCACTGACAAAATGAGAATGAAAATAAAGGCGTAAAGAATAATAACAAAGAACAAGCTGTGAGGTTGTGCTTCAGCCTGGAAAGTCATCTCCTTCAAAATCTTTCATTCTTTTGAATAAATGGATGGTCAGAAGAAGGCTACGGATAATTTCCTGTCATCAGTTAAGGTGTCTGGCTCTGTGTCACAACAGTTAAGCGATGCAACCGTATAAGTTGATAACAATGTGTTTAGGTCACACAGACTACTTTATCTCCTTTTCTTCAATTACTTTCTGAAACGCCTCCGGCACAGTGAGGCCAGGAGCTCGATGCAGTACAAACCTGCAGCTTCAATTACTTTGGAAAGCAGGAATGTTGCATCCAAGGTCAGCGAAGACTATCCCGTTCCTCAAAGTGTAAAAACAGCTCATTAGGAGCGACTTACACATGCGTTACATGCAAACAGCAGTGCAGGTTTGGTGCACTGAGAACTCTGCAGCGTCCTAAATCAACGTTCAGTCGTGTTAAGCTCACCTTCTCTGGCAGCTGAGACTCCACCTCTTTCTTCAGCCTGCGCAGGAGAAACGGGCGGAGCACTTTGTGCAGACGCCGGATGATCAAGATGGTTTCCTCCTCGTTTAAGTCGACCTGAACACGTCAGAAAGAGGGAGAGGTGATGCCTCGCAGCTGTTTCGTGCAGAGTGACGAGATTCCTACCTGCCGACTTTACGCTAAACCGTCATTTAACCCAGAAGTAAAACTCTTAAGAGAAAGAAGCTCTTTTGCATGTGTTTCCTAAGGTTGTTATTATCACGCCATGTTCTCCACGGCGAGATAAACAAGAGCTCCTGGAAGAAACCCACGCTGGCACACAAAGAACATGCAAATCCCAGACAGGAGGGTCCGGCCTGTTTCCAACCACTGACTCACTCTGCTGCCATTATTACACATCACTGAAACCTTACTGATGATAAGAAGCGTACCTGAATCCACGTTTTCCTTAAGGGTGCCTTTTTAATTAAAAATTGTTTGGCCACGGTGCTTCTGTTGCACTCAGGGCACCAAAGTGTTTTTCATGAACTAAAACAGCAACTACTAATGCAAGAAAGTAAAAACACGCTTAAATATTCTTTTCCTAAATCATGCAACGCTTGTACAGCTGGAAATGAGCAGAACACAACTTATTGTTCAGCTTAGAAATCATCTATAACTTTTAATTATATGCATCTGAAAAAGTCATATGAGATGAGCTGTATGTAACCTAAAGATGGATCGTTGAACTTGGTGGGAGCGGGCACTGCTACGGGGGATTTGAACGTTTTGCCTACTCCCACATGAAAGTCCACATGTTTGATACGACACGACCCCAAAGGGCTGCGTCCTCTCCTAGCATTGAACCGGGACCTTTGTCCAAACCGCAGTCACATGACTGCTGAGCACAGACAGATATCAGAGACCACTTCCATGCTGGCTACCGCTCGTTCAGCCTACTGCACTCTGGACGGTACAGAAGCATCGAAAGCCGTCGATGAGGAAACCGCTTCTAAATGTAGGACATGAAACGTCACTCCTATAGTGACGACACCCAGATTAACTCTCAGGGGTCTATTTATTGAAATCTTTTACTTTTTGAATCCTGCCTGTTTTTGTGAGACTCACTGAACTTTCCAAGGACAGGAAATAAAATTCCCTGTGGATACTCAGACATTCAGAACACTAACAGAGTCTTAATGCAGTGGGTATAAAAACCTTCCCCCTTATGAATTTAAATGAGCCGTGTTAAATTTTAGACATAAATGACCTAAATAACTTCCCTTTGCTTCTTTGCCAGGAGTAATGAAACATGTGACTGCTGCAAAGAAAAGCAGCGAGCTGAGGGGAACAGATGGAAGCAGGTCCATTTAACAGCTTTAAATGGGGTTAGGGTATTTCTGTGTTCAGTAAAAATCAGCCCATTACAGCAAGAAAAGGCTGTAAATACAGTTTTTAAAAGGATTTCAGTTTTTGCAAAGAAGCTTTGGTATCTTCTGATAATGAATGATAATGTCTGTACTTATCATCACTTTAAAAGTTTTAAGTGGCCGTGATCCAAATGACATGAAGGACTTATTAACCATTTATGTGCCCGAGGTTCCTTCTGATGGTTTCTGCCATGAGTGAGATCACGACAGCCAAACTGTAAAACATCTTCAGTGTCTTTAATCTCAGAGCTTTCAGAAATGATTCGTCTCTTTCTCATATCTCCTTTGTAAATTTATACTACATGACAAAACAAAATGCGAAGGTTAAAACTAATTATTAACTTGATTTGCAAAACCCAGACAAAAACCCATCAGCCAGCGTTAGCTTCAAACTAAAACACTGGTCGCTCTCCTGGCACCTACCCTCTCTCCTGTCATGGCGAAGGGTGCGTTAAACCACTGCTCGAAGGTGCTGCAGCACTTGAAGATGGTGGGCAGCAGGAAGTTGAGCAGCGCCCACAGCTCGGGCAGCTTGTTCTGCAGAGGAGTCCCAGTGAGGAGCAGTCGACGGGGGGCCACGTAGTGCGTGTTCAGCACCTGTGTCAGTTTGCAGTGGTGGTTCTTCATGCGGTGACCCTCGTCAACGATCATGTACTTCCAGCGAATCTGTAGGAGACACGAAGCAGAACCCGAGTGCAAATGAGCATTTTAAATATTTCAGTTTGTGTCTCAGTCGTCACTGCAGGAGTTTGACTTTGCACTTTGACAACCGTCAGGCTGCAGAATAATTATTATTATTATTTTTTAATGTATTTATTTATGCAAGTTTCAAAATTTTTACACATTCACAAACAGCGGGACAGAGGAACACAGACAATAAAGACAATAACAACAACAAAAAAACAAAAACAAAACACAGGAACAAACAAACAAACAAAAAAACAGAGCAACAAACCCCACAATAGGCCAGCACTTATTAAGAACAGGCAGCAGAATAATTGTAAATACAAACAACAAGCTTGTGACTCTGCCTCTTATTTAGCGTGTTTATGTATATGTTGTCATATAATGTGTATTATGAGCACAAAAAA